TAACGATATCGGTATCAATCATAACATCGTTAATAGGGAACAAAAACGTATCAGAAATCGAAAATTATCGCAAAAAGAATTATCAAAACTGATTCAGATTTGAAGATGTGTAACATAACACAAAAAGGACAAGCTAATTGAGAATTTTCTTTTGGAAACCTCTGAAAAATATTTTAATAATTGCCATAGTTTACATTCAATTTTAGACGACTATGTAAGAGCGTTTTCTCACGTTCCGCCTATTGGATACCTGGCGATGAGTAGCCGGTTTCATTATGAGATTTCACATGTCCAAGCGATTGTCTAGGGCGACTGATAAAAATACAGTTAAATACAAAATTTGTAAGATAATCGCGAACAAATAATTCAAAAAGAAAAAAAGGTTTGGTAAGACACTTCGCGGTTATACTTATCAACCGGCTTCAAAAAGAGGAGGTTCTTAATTTGGTTGTATTTTTTTATATTTGTTACCACATAACTCTGTCAGTTTTAAACCGATTGGGAAAATTATTTTTTATCTAAAAGTGACTAGTAAGATCTAAGTGTATGAAGGTACGCGGTCACGGGCTCAGACTACAAAGCTTTCGGGATCTTTTAGTTCCGAGAAAATAGAACATGTTCTGGAGGTATTCGGGTAAAAATAAGCTCCGAGACACTCCAGATGGTAGACACAATTTAGTCGATGTAGGAAATATTCAAATGCATGTTTGAGCAACGGCTTAAATCCGGGCCCATTTTTTACCCGGTCTGAATTATTCAGGATGCATAGTCTGAGCCGTATACTTCGCCACCGGGTTCCCGGGTAGCCAGAACGTGTGAAATGGCACTAAGTATGTAAGATAAAATTATACATATTATAGATATAACCCAAAATATAACATTGAATGGTAATTCCGCTTGCGCTATAGATTAGTTGATAGTGAATGATTAATTCACCAAGAACAAAGATGAAATGATGAAGAAGAACAAGAATAACTACGATGGTTTGTTTCCCAGGACTTATAACATTTAAAACTTACAATTTATCATTTTTAATTGCTATACTATTTTACGCATGCGTAGTGACAATTTCATCAAATAAATAAGGTAGCTGCTCCACCGGCAGGGCAATAAATTAAGTACCTTTTAACATATAATATAAAATTTGTCACTCCATAGGCTATGTTTACAATTTACGGCCTTTTTATTGCTTAAAATGATCATTTCTAGATCAGTTGGAGATTGCAATTATAGATAAAACGATAGAAATGTTATTAAACGGCCTATAAAAAGAGAAGCTTACTTTGAATTTTATTAATAACTGCAAGGTCACTTGCTGTATTAAATATAAACAGATATATTATCAAAACGTCGTAACATTCCGTCGAACAGGATTTTGCCACTATTATGCTTAAATAAAATATCTAAACCGGTATTCATTTATTACCAGAGGAAGACTTTGTAAAAAAAGTCTCTTGCCAATGCACTCTTGCACCTCTGTCCAATTCGTATTTCTACCGTAAAGCAGTTGCGTTTGCATAGCTGTGTTTCTGTTTGAAGAGTGGGATATGACAATTAATTTACAGGGTACAGAGGAAATAACACCCGAGTCCTCAGGAATGGCAACGCATGGAGAGTATCATGGGCGAAACAGTATACTCTGTTATGTTCATGGTAGTGCTCATGTCTATAGGCGACGGTTACCGCTTTCCACCAGGTGGGCTGTCAGCTTGTTTGCCATTCTAAGTTGTACAAAAAAAGCTGAATTTACAGAACTAATAATTATAATAACTACTATAGTAACATCATCATATCAACCTTTAACCGTCCACTGCAGATCATAAGTCTCCACTTTGGGAGATTTTGCCAGTAGTTGCCACGCTTGGCAGGCGCATTGGTAACAGCAGTGAGGCTTTAGAGAGGTTTTAAGAGGGACGCTGCTGCTCATCTCACGCTTTCCTTTAGTCAGTTCTTACGACACCCACGGGAAAGGAAGGGGTGGCTTATTTTATGCCGGGAACACACGACTGTATTATATATATATATATATATATATATATATATATATATATATATATATATAATTCAATATAAACACACAACGTAAGAATAATGACTACTTATTCCTATTTATAAAAACTACTCCATTTTAAATTTCCATTGAGATTTTTGCAGAATATTGCATATATTATTTTTAAAATTGATGTCCTACTTTTAACTTTATATATATGTATAACGGTAAATTTTATAAAGTATCTTTGTTGTTTCCGACAATTGTTTCAACTTCATACCGAAGTTTTATTCAGGGGGCGTGCGGCGTTTTGGGTCATTGCCCCTTGAAGACTTACGGATGAAGTAGATACACTATGATATTGTTCATGAAAAAATAATAATCTTCAATATAGGAATTAATTACTTCGATTAAAAAAGGAATTATCAAAATCGGCTTAGAATTACTGATATTAAAGGTACAAGACGACGGATTTTTGTTTTTTACACTATAAAGATTTCTGTATCTGCAGTCTTCGATTAAATTCGCAACAGTATTTTCGTAAACAGACTGGAAATCATTTAAATAATATCGTTTACTTGATCACAATACCTAAAATTACTGTGGCATTATTTCTAGTCTAAACGATTTATGAATATTAAACAAAATATAATAAAGAGCTTAGAATAAACTTTAGTTTATTCAAGTACTTTAGCAAATAGAATGTTAATAGTCATAACTATAATAAAATGTCATAACAGAATTCAAAAAGTTTTTAATACGCGAGGATAAGTGTAAAGTTACAAATAATAATAAAACCAATAACGGTTTTGATTGATTGACAAGGCGACTAGTGCTTGTAATGGTATTAATTCTTATGGTAGGTATACTTATTATAAAAGTGATTATGATATATGGGTATATCTTTTTTGTGGATGTATAAATGTATTATATATTAGAAAGGAGTCAAGAATCTCCGGTACCGACGTGCGTACGTAAGACAAGTTATGATAATGCATGAAGCAAAGAATCTAGCACTCGGTTCACTCTGCCTATCATAGAAGGGATTCAGCGTGAAGGTAAATTTAAATCATAAATGTAAAAGCGAGATTGCTACCTCTCAGCAATCGTTTATAAAAGTATTGTATGCTGTGTCTGTGTGAGATGAAGGGCATAGATGTAGCCGGTTATTATGATTTACTTAACCGAATTACCTCCCTATACGGCAGATGCATGTTGTGGTGAAATTTATTTGTCTCGCCCTGGTACCATTATTTCGAGCCTTTTAAGACTACAACAAATGGGGCTTGAAACGCTATGCAGCGAAATATTGAATTGAGATGGGCGCTTTTAATTTGCAAAACCTAATGCGAATAATGAGGTCTTATGAATTATTGTTCAGGACGTTTAAGGTAAAACGGAAACGTCTGTATAAACTAAATATTTTAGAACAGTACAATAATCATTAGTAAAATTGCAAATCACAGTCCTGATTAGAATCCTATGTATTTTTTTTATTAGTTAACTATTATCTCTTAATAATTATGCAGCTGATGAAGATAACTCTATAATATAAGACCCTGAAGACCCGTATTTGCATGTCTACTTACAAATTCACGCTCTTTAAGAAATAAAATATAAAACTGATAGTGACAATTTATTGTTGTCTGGTTAATATGAAACAGACTTCTTAGAAGTATTATAAAGACATGTTCCGATGTACAATGGTTGATATGAGCTGAAAGGGGTCTGCTTGTGATATATTATGTTTTATGTAATGTCTAGACAGGTCGCTAAACTCGAGGGGCATCCGCAGATTTATGTAGTCTCCCTCAAAGATTCCTGGAATCTTTTAACTTACCTCTCCGGTTTTTATAGAAATAAAACTATTAGCCAAGTTATGTACTTCGCTCAATCTTAGTAGTATAAAATATTTAACGTTAATTAGCGACAAACTAAAAAAAAATTATTCATTTTAGAAGATAATAATAGTATTCAAATAAATTAATTCAAAACATAAATCGATATTATTTTAATACATGTAGTGAATACATTTGTTACTAACTGAAATATTGCATATGATATTATCAAATAAATTATGCCAGCTGCAATTTATATAAGCGTTGATGTAGACTAATGTATAACATCATTTGCTGACAAGTAATCTTAATGTTTATATTTAATCAGATATCGCCTACGTTCATTATAAAATACGAAATCAGCACTGAAAGATTAATTTAATTGAGTGGATACTTTTAATGCTGGTTTAGCGTAGAGACTATAAACATTTGTATACGGAATTAAATCAACTGTGTGGCAGATGAATAAAGTGTGATTTTATTACTTTTATAAAAACACAAAGTTAGTAAATATTATACAGTATTTTCTACACCACCCCAAGATTCATCTGAGTAACTCTAAAGTTGGTAGACGAAAATTCCTCTAGGGATAAGTCTGCAATTGTATTTTCTCTTTTATAATGTATTACATTTTTTTTCTGTATAAAAATTCTACAAAGAAACAAAATGAAAATTTGGTCGTTACACCTGGACTTTACGGGAATTTCATTTACAATAGGTTATTTGAAATGTGGATGCAATGAAATGCACTTTACGGTACACAAATAAGAAACTATAATTGTAGAATAAATAAAATGCAATAAAATTACTCATAACTATTCTATAAACTATTAAACAATTGCTTTTTTGATTATTATGTTGATTCAGTTATTAAATTTTATAATCAGAGTATATAAGTTATATATTTCGTTGACAATTAACTCATTGCGGGCATAATGAGCAACGTGAGTTTTAGATATTTGAGTATCTGACACGCGCTGACAATGCCTCTGCACCTGCGGGATTCAATGGCAATAGTAAATCGAAATCTAATAATTACTAAAAAAGAAATTAACAGTGGTATAAAAAAAATTGAATTTTTGGTTACACTAATATATTCAATATATTACCAAAAGATTGAAGGTATGTTTGAGAATATCAAAGAGTCTGAGAGTACAAGAATGAATACTTACTTGTTTAAATTAAGCCGCCGTTACAGGAACTTTAAACCTGGAAAAAAAATAAAACGATTAGGGGTAAGTTAATAAAACGTACGTACGTATGAAATTTAGTGATAGGGAAGTATATGTATATTGTACGCATATTCATTTTAGTTCAACTTATATTTAGCTTTTATTGAAATAAAGTTTATAAAAGAATAATTACAATATTTAAAAGTTCTTTTATGCTGCACTTATATTCATATGTGTCTTATTTTCTTTGTTCATATTTTAATACTTTTATATTGAGCACGAATAATATCATATCCGATTAAAATCGTGGAGTTACCTAATAGAATTGTTGCAAGGAAATCGTGTAATACAAGTTAACGCATTGCATAGTTGAGATGAAATTGGCACGGAACGGACATATCTGGTGGTACGAGATTAGAGATGCAACTGGATGTGTTAATTTTAGATATGGAATCTCCGCCACGGAAACAAGTTGTGTGCATAGCGGACCGGATTCACGTTAAGTACGTAGGCGTACTTACTTTGATTGCATACTTTTAAAACGTTGATCAGTATCAGCAGCTGGATTATTACAAATCGACTGTTAACTTTAGGAGATATATGTAGAAAAAATTTAACAAAACGCAAATACTTAATTCTGCTGGTATTTCAAAAAGCAAAATTTGTATTAAAAAAAATAATTCTCAATATATTGATGTAAAAATTATTTCTGTACTTAGGACAGAAGTTAAAGTAACATTTTTTTAAACGTCAGGAAGTTTGGTTAATAATCGAATTGGAATAAATCAAGTTGTAAAAGAAGCTTTCATCGACAGTGTTAATTACATGTGCGGTCAAAGCGTTAAAGCCAGTTAGTTAAGCTAAGTTTCCCTTATCGAGTAAGTTCTTATTTTAGTATTAAAAATATGATTGAACCGTACCCGTATTTTGATTACTGCAAATGGAATAAACGTAAGTGCAGATCTGATACCACAACACTAAATAGATGTGAGGTAAAAAAAGTAAAAAACGGCTAGGCGAATAACACAAAACGTTACACTTTTTATTTTAAAGCGATTTCAATAATGACTACTTAATTTGACATATATAATGTGATATCTTTATCAATTCAGAACCCATTTTGTTATTAATTTATTCCCATATTTGGCCCACATGTCTTTGTCAAAAAGACATACGGAAAGAAAAACTGCAAAAATTATAACACATATATAATAACTTTGTAAGACACAAATTAGTTTGTTTTAATTTGTATATAAAAATAAGTATGACTATGTTATTATATCATTGTGAATCATATCTAGTTAGGTAAAAAGCACTTACGTTGATAAATCGCATAATAAAGACGCACCAAGGGACTAAAGTATATGTGCATATTAATTATTCACATAATAAGTATAGTTTTCTAACATCATTGTTTTTGTAAAGCTCTGTTTCCACTCGAGAATAATGTTTATTACAAGTTTGTTGGCGATTAGAGCGCGCCGGTGCTAGATCCGCTCACTGCCTACTGTAACATTTGACCCAATTCAGAGTTCTGAATAGATTATAGAATGCGTGTTTACAAAACTATTACGAATACGACTTTTTTATATTACGACTTGTGCGTAATTATATAGTGATACCAATGACCGCGTTAATCGATTCATTTATGTTTATTTATGCGTGAAATTATGATTATTTTATATCCTACGCATACCAGTAGCCGAAGCAAATCAGAGGAGTTAAAAAGCAGATTTACGTGAATCGTAGTAAGATTTATTTCGTATAACACGCCAAGATTAATAGGCATCTCCCGCTGAAGGTGTAGTATTAATAGACTAACACAGTTTTATCGATGGATTTCGTGCAAAGTATTTTTTAATCTACCAGGTCTCGAGTTACCAAGATGTAAATGCAATGTAAAGTAAAAATAAATACGATTTTTTTTACCTACTTAGCAAATTTTTATGAAAATACCAATTGACAAATTATCATCGAGCTTTATTTTTTTTTTATACAAAATAGAAATACAAGTAATTAACATTATTTATTGTCATTATTTTTTTGTCCCAACTTTGCACGAGACCCAATCTCGAATTGTATTAAGCAATTAGAAGAAAGTCTTGATGGAAACAAGAAATGCCCATAAATAATGCAGTCATAACGTGATGTGTCACATCTGACAAAAAATATATGATGCATTTGTCTACGCATCAATATATTGATTGGTTGAGATTGAAATTATTCTGTAAATTATGAGCTCTAAATATAAAGGAAAGTTTCCGTTTATTTGATTTCAAAATACTCACGGGATATGGGTTTTTGTATATTGCTTTTTATAACGTGATATGGATATGACTGTATTTTAAACAAATCCTGTCACTTGGGCCTATTTCAAATAAATTACCTAGTAATATTGCATTTAGAAATCTTAATCTTTCGACATTTATTTTTTCTAAATTGTACAAGACTACAAAAATCATAAATTAAAAATTTATGATTTTTGATTGATTTGATTTTGTGAGTCTTATACACACGGACGCACGAAAGCACATACACACACATATATACATACATATATATTGTACTTATAAATATATTTTAACAATTTCGTTTTGTATTTCAAAATTAAACCAAAATAACTTTATTCACATAGGTCCGTTATAGACTCTTATGATACGTTACTTTAATATGTTTCAATTTTATACTTATATACCAGTTTCTTATACTATTCAGGACAGGACTAGAAATAATAAAATATGTGATATGGAAGCATGAAATCTCCTCACTTATCAACTGCACCGCATTACGAAACTAACGTTTAAAAGCTTTTCGTATATTTATTTTCAAACTTTTGCAATTCCGCTTTAGTTTGGAGCGGGATAAAATTTATGTAAAACGCTTTTTACTTTAAGTAGTTGCCACTTAAACAGTTCTAACAGTTTCGTTATATATTAGTAGATAAGTACCTATTGAATTGATAATAGGGTCACTCTAATAGAAAAATAAATGCTATTTACAGTTTACATTCGTTTGTAAGTTCTATTTTTGGACATTATTTTTAACAGTTCGATTTTTATTTTGTAGATTTCACGAAGTCGATTACAGTAATTTGATTTGATAACGTTAATTTATTCAACTTTACAAAACAAATAAAACATCAAAGCTGTGAAAGATAAAATAAAAGAAAGGATATACAATTTTGTTTACTTTTCAAACATTGCTATAAAATAAAATAAATAGGTTTTATATAATTTAAGTTTCTGTTCTACAAAAAGCAATTTTATTTAGGGATAAAATATGGGACGTTGGAGTAACCCTATCATTCGATAAATAAAATGAAAGTATGTTCGGCATTGGCGAAAATAACTCGTTTATTTATTACGCGTGCCAGAAAATAAATCGTAATAACGGCCCCTGACTGCTGCTACTGCTCTCATCTGTGGGCCGAGCCACCTGGATACCAGCTTGGTCTTCTTGACTCGGTTCAAAGACGGACTTTGAGAATTATTGATAAACTCAAGCTCACAGACGGTATCGAGCTAAGTGTAAGGCAGGACTTTGCTTCCCTTTGTGCGTTTCACCGCTTGTACAATGGATTGTGTTCTGAGGAATTGTTCAAAAGGATGCCCACAGCCATTTTTTATAATCGCACCGTTCGCTATCGACAGGGAATTCATCCTCACATGCTAGAATCTAAATAGTCGCGTAGTGTAGTTTCAGAGATTTCTCCCTTGGACATTCTGGTTGCGGAATGAGCTCCCTGTTGAGATTTTCTCGATTATAGTATGGGGTTGTTCAAAAAGGATGTATTAAGGTTTTTTCAGTATTGGTAACGCGCACATGTCACTTCTAGTGTTGCTAGTGTCCATAGACTATAGTGACCGTCAGACGGGCTGCACGCTTGTCTACCACATTCGTGATATAAAAAAATATGGGTGATATTTATATTTTAAAAAAATTGTCCTCGCTTAAAAAGCTCAACTTTAAAAAGATTAGAATCGACAAATAGTGCGTGTTATGTTTACAGTTATTACAGAAGTTGGTAGCTAATACACAATAGGAGGTTTATTCGTTTTTATAAGTCTGAACATGCAAAAGAAGAGTTACAAAGCTATATTATGAGCGCATAAAACGAAAATCTACTGAATACAAAAATGACGCATACAGCATTAATAAAATTCCAGTTACGTAATATTCAAGATTAATGCTCCTAGATGAGTTTTCTTAGATATGTTATGGTTGAATCATAAACGAAACAAGGGGTTAAAAAACTTGTTTTGCACGAGTCGTTATCGTTTCAATTTGGAGGGTTTATACAAAATGAAATCTATAATGATTCGCGTAAAGCGGTTTTTAACCCCCAGGTGAGTATGATAAGGCGACGAGAAGGAAAGTGGATAAGTGTGTCACATACTAAAGATTGCTACTGCATAATGCATGCCATTTGTCTGCTGGGAAAAGTTTAATATTATACGATATAACTTAATTACCGATATATTGTAAATTACAGTGTAATTAGAGAGAAAATATTGTATAATTTTATTATTATTGTATATAGTTTCTATTAGTTAACGTTATTAGAACGTTAAAATCTTTTTTGATAAATTATGGTTTTCACATTTACCATATGTATTTTGTCGTCACGGAGTTTGAAGCAAGCCCAAAATTTTATTTAATTTAGTATTTTTTTTTTTATTTTATGCGTTATGCGATAAAAGGTTATGCATACTCAATTTAGTAACTCTGCTAAGTAACCATAGAAAACATTATACATTTCATCACGAAGATATAACATTAACAATATAGCTTATCGCTGTAAGTTAATAGCGGGTTTAACACTGACTGATTGGGCCATAAATCGATAGCAGCTGTTACTGAAATTAATTTAACAGCCAATTTAAAAGAAATTGAAAATAAGGGATGCCGTGGATACGTGCTGGCGGTCTCTTTCACGACTGTTTTATGAATGCTTGTTAATAATAGGGTAATAAATAAATTAATGGCTATTATGTATGTCCTATTTAAAAGTCTATAACACATCAACTGAGCACTTAG